GACTGGAATTTTTGGGAGTGGTTTAGAGGGGATGAGTTTTTAGCTATGTTTTTTGCAAATGCATCAGCAATTTCAGTTATAGACGAGAAAATTTTGTTTTTATTAATGAGGTGGGAGGATGTTGCCTTTTTCTTTTTCCCACTTATTTTCCGAATCATATCCCATACTTTTTTGGAGGACGTGTTTGATGATATCTTGGATACATATTCTCTCCAGCTGTTTCTTTTGTCAATTTTAATTGATCGCCGAGCCTTTGCCCGCCAAATTTTAAATTCACTGTAGTTTGAAGCAGTTGGGCAATTGAAGTAGCGTCTTAGAGCAGCTGCCCGATTACTGCGTGTTTCAAAAGATTCTTCAGATAAAAGGAACTTCGTAGGTTTTGGAGCGGATTTTGGAATTGTCTTTTGGGCAATTGAAGTGAGTGTTTCAGTAAAAGTTTTGATAGGGTCGTCGAGGTTAGTAAAATTGTCTATTACACGTGGAAGAATCATGTATTTGGGCAATATATGTGTTGATTAGTTGAAAAAACTAAACTATAAAAGATATTTTGATATTAATGATAAAAAAGCTATGTTAATTTATAGAAACGTAATGAACAATGAAACATAATATTAGGCATACTTACTATTGAGAGAGGACCACAAGTCCTAGAGTGTTGTATTCCACAATGTTTGTGATATGTTTCCTTGACAGAAGACCTTCTTCCTTATAAAAACCTAATATTATCAGTTCCTTTAACGTAAGATAAAACACTTTAATCGAAATATGAATAAAGGAGCGGGAACACGGACGTTATAAGAAGGAAGCTTTCGTAACTGAGATAAATGTATTGTTTAAGAAAGAAAACATTTCTGAACTCAATCACGTGTCAAGGAGTGCATCACGATGTTGACATTGAAAACAAGGAAAGCTTGATAGAAGGGTAAACAAAGCACCAGCTCGATTGTTTACCCTTGCACCCCAATGTAACTTTAGTAAACTCTTCCGTGCTTTGATCTGGATGAGTCCATTATCGTCTACAGTGGTGAATGGATTAAATGAACAATGTTATCAATGCACAAACTTAAAGAATCATTGTCCCACCTCATTCATAACATTGGAGAATTCCGTTGTAGGTTTTCGTACATTCAGCAACCTCCTCTTGATTTCCATTTTGATACAGTATAGCCATTCGGCTAACATCGGCCGATTCCGGTACCCTTCATGATGTAGGTACGGAATCTGCCGAGACGTCACGAGTGACATTATAGCGTGATTGAACCAGAATTCGACCTTTGACCAGGCAGCTCAGTTGGGTAGACAGGAAGTACACAAGTATAATCATCGAGTTCGAATTGTAGCCTGTTTCCATTCCATTTCAACACTCAGAACATCTTTTTTGCTGTTTACTTTTTTCATCTTTATTGCGTTTAATAATAATTTCCGCCATGTATGTTTTCCTTTTAAAAATGTATATACCTGGCGTTCCTTCTTTTCTTCTGAGGCACATGGAATTTAAACATTTTTATTATAGAATGAATGCATGAACATATCTGACCTGGTGGTGGTAATACTTAGAAGATTGGTGTAAATCAACTTATTAGTGGTATCAATGAGCAGGAACATTTATTAAGTGGTGTGTCATTAGCAAAGATATAAATATACTGTATACTGTTTACCGGGAAGTTTTCGCCGCAATTTATTTTTCGCCCTTTTCGCCTTTTTCGCCCTCCGAAATGACGACGAATTTATCACTGCAGCGAATAAACTTAATCATCATAATAAACATAGTAATTGAATGTGAATGGCAAAATTAACACCAGGCAAAAATTGGTTTCACGAGCGAAGGGCGAAAGTTTGACTGGGCGAAAATTTCCCGGTAAGCTATATATCGAATAATCGCATTCATTCATTCTCATTCTAGCATATTTGATTGACACTGAATAGTCAAAGGCATTTGACGCAAGTTCTATTAACTTACTAGGTCCTCTCCCACGTCTGCAATTGAGGGTTCAGATTACAATTATGCGATCTAAACGTTTGAAGATGGAACATCTGCACATAAAGTGTCAAATAGTCAAATAAACAGGCTTTATTACAGCATATTGAGCAAAAAAAGTAACTGTGTTTGTTAAACAAATCATCAACAAAACTATAACATCCGTGAAATGACCTATTTTTAAATTGTTTGTTTTTACTTTTGAGCTAAACGCATACTCGGTATTTCATGACGATATTAGTTATCGCGGCTTAATTTTACGCTTGTTATATTATTCTGCGGATCATATTTTCGCGATCACAATATTGACCTGCAAAATCGCAAAAAATATCATCCACGCGGACATATCCTGCTATACAGTAACTACCATACGAGGGGTTGTATATGGGTGTGAATACATTCTAGACCTAATGCCCGTTTCTTCATTCTTCATCAGTCACCAAACATTTATTACCTCCAGGTGAATTTTACAGATAGGACAAATCATCCAAAATCTTACTTTGAGTTTCTTTTTTAATTGGGAATAAAACATACAATTACAAAAAGTTTAATATTTATTTCAAATCAGTACGTGGCAAGCTATACAGCCAATCCGAGAACCATACTGGGGCCATGGACAGGGGCCACCACATAAATCGGCAATCGTTTCCGACTCGGTACCGTGCGTGCGGATACATGGCAAACAGCGCATGCGTTATGGCATCCGTGACCTTCGACAAGTCCGTGTCTTGGATGTCTGGCAAGTTCAGTATGTTCTGTCTCCCTACAAATAAAGGATTAACACCATTAATTAGATGTTGCTCACTGGGTTTTTTTTATATCAAAAGGTAGGAATTAGTATGAAGGTTATTTTGTTAACCCTGATTTACTTAAATGGTTAATTTGCAGATTTTGTCTCCCGCTGGTTTCAGATCGAATTGAAAGGGCAAAAAATTGCACACTAAGGACGGTTTTAGTTACTATAAATTTCAGGGGAATAAAATGAAATTAACAGTGTTGAGTATTTCTAAGCCCATCGTCTGCATAGGAAACTGACCAATTTCTCCGATACGTACATTATGATATTAATCTATGTAATAGCAAAAGGTATAGAGAATCTAGCACGAGTGTTCATGTTATATTGAATTTATTGAACGAGTATATTAATTTCATATGAAATTAATATACGAGTTCAATAAATTCAATATAACATGAACACGAGTGTTAGATTCTATTTATTATATAATTCGAGAAACCTACCTACATAGTGGTTTCAATACTAACGTCTCTATATGCAATGACGACGAGAAAGGACGCATCACATATACTAATTTGAGAGCATGTTCCGCTAACAAAAGTAGTCCGCAGAATTTTATCAGAATAATAAATGGCCAACAGTTTTATTTTTAACGATCATTTTAATTGTAATAACAATTGAAATAATAAAAGTTTACAAAATATGACTTCTTTTTTTTCGCTTCGGAAAAAAACTGTTTTTTTTCATCGGTGACGTCATGAACAGTGTAAGAGCGCGCGCACTGTGAAGGTCGTCGGAAACCGAAAACACATGTGTTGGATATTAGGCCTACTGAGAATCACTGTCACTTTCTATAACACGGGCGCGTTTTTTCAGAGGAGGTCCTTGGTAAACATGAACTTGTATGTTTCCTCCTGTGACAGCACCTGAAAAGATACTTTGGAAACCGCCCTGGACCCTGACAACAGAGGAAGTTGACTGGTTACACGCCATTGATTGTTGTGTCAGTGATGTTGTGTTGCATCCGGTCTCAGGTGCTGTTGGATTTCCGTGCAGTATTTTGGAGATTTCTTTGTGTTGATTCGTGTTGATGTGTGAATAATTATTAATAGAAGAAATGTTTCGGTGACCAGAAATTTGCATTATATGGTTAGCGGGGATGTTATTATCGTTCAATTTCTGGACAAGATATTTCCTCGCACTGTGATTTGACAAGTGTTTGTCAGTTTGGATTCCTGCTCCCTTTATGGCACGTTGCATCATGGATTTTAGGTTGTTGATACCAACGGGTTGGCGCTTGAACCAAGTCTCATGACTTCCAGGTGAGCTTTTTGTTGTAGTTGTTGTAATTCGAACAGAATCCCCAATGTTTACGTCAGCCATGTTGTAGTAGGCCTATACTATAGTAGTAGTAGTAGTGCGTAGGAATACGACCTAGTTCCCACGGTGTCGCGCGCTCATTTGCATCTTTATTGCACACGTTCAATATCAATTTTATTGCACCCCTTTATTGCACTGCAGAAGCCTTATATTATATAATAAAATTAGTTACAGCATGTTCATAAAATGTTTTTGACAACAATTTAGTTGAAAATTGGAAACATTCATTTTTAAAACATAATAAAAATATCATTCACTATTTATATGTTAAAACTGATGAACCCCCTATTAAAATTTCTGTGTTTGGTTGTTGTTTTTCTTCTGATAATATATATCAAAACTCCAATAGGTATGTTATTCAAATTTGCAAGCTCGTATATGATAGTCCTTTTTTGGTTTCGCTACCGAATTTTTATTGAATACTCATATCATAGTTCCTCGCTCTTTGAAAAAAGATAAAGGGTAAAACAAACTTACAGTGATTGAAAAATGTACTTCCGTAGTGCTTGCTGATGTATTCAGGGAGGCTGACAAACCGGTCTCGAAACTGTTTCGCCATGATCTGAGGTACAACGATTGATGTCTGGAAGGCCCCGGGTTGTACCAGATGGGCTGACATGTCAGTATTATAGAACTCTCGTCTGTAAAAGTAAAACATAGAAACATGTATTTCACAATATGTATTGATATAAGTGTCTTCTTGTGATTTCACAATATGTACAGATCTAGGTGTCTTCTGGTGAATTCACAATATGTATAGATCTAGGTGTGTTCTGGTGAATTCACAATATGTACAGATCTAGGTGTCTTCTGGTGAATTTACAATATGTACATATATAGGTGTCTTCTAGTGACTTCACAATACGTACAGATCTAGGTGTCTTCTGGTGATTTCACAATATATTTAGATATAAGTGTGTTCTGGTGAATTCACAATGTGTATAGATATATGTGTCTTCTGGTGATTTTACAATATGTACATATATAGGTGTCTTTTGGTGATTTCACAATATGTATAGATATATGTGTCTTCTGGTGATTTTACAATATGTACATATATAGGTGTCTTCTAGCGATTTCACAATATGTACAGATCTAGGAGTCTTCTGGTGAATTCACAATATGTATAGATCTAGGTGTGTTCTGGTGAATTCACAATATGTACAGATCTAGTTGTCTTCTGGTGAATTTACAATATGTACATATATAGGTGTCTTCTAGCGATTTCACAATATGTACAGATCTAGGGGTCTTCTGGTGAATTCACAATATGTATAGCTCTAGGTGTCTTCTGGTGAATTCACAATATGTATAGATCTAGGTGTCTTCTGGTGAATTCACAATATGTACAGATCTAGGTGTCTTCTGGTGAATTTACAATATGTACATATATAGGTGTCTTCTAGTGATTTCACAATACGTACAGATCTAGGTATCTTCTGGTGATTTCACAATATATTTAGATATAAGTGTGTTCTGGTGTTTTAATAATATGTATAGATCTGTATGTCGTATGGTAATTTCACTATATGTAAAGATTTATATATCCTCTGGTGTTTTCACAATATATATATAGATCTAGGTGTCTTTTGGTGTTTGTAGAATATGGTTCTTAGGGATTCTGACCAAAGCAAACGTAATAGGACAGCGTTGTCCACTGAAAAATCAGCCCCATCTAAAATGCCATGACAAAATCAATCGAAAGAAAGCGGTAAGCTATTTGTTTTCTTTCATGTGCGAAATCTGAACAATTCGTAGGCTCATACATGTCCTTTGAATGTTACAAAGGTACGACACCAGCAGGTGTATTAAAATGGCATGCTGCCGCGCGTCAAGTCTACTTGTAACATCCGTAAGGTGGCGTCTACGGAGCTTCCGACTTTATACAAGGATTTAACGGTGTTCTTTTTCTATTTCACACTGGTTTGAATGCAAATCGATTAGATACATATTCCATGAATTTTCATGAAAAATATGTATGTAACCGGTTCGCGTTCATACCGGGCTAAACATTGAAAAAAGGCCGTTCGATCCTTATATTACATTCTATTTTTTTAGTTATTATTGACCTTAACAAAGATATTACTTATATTTTTGATTTTGAAATGTCTATGTCGTCATCGTAAACGAGATTTGTAGGACAGCCTTACGTCACCAAAATTAATCGAGGCGAAATGGGAGCTTCAAAATGACGCTGATCCAATTGCGTTCATAGCCCTATATTTTCCTTTGCGCTGCAATGCCACTATGTAAACCAAGCAAATAACGCTTCGGTCATAATAATATGAACCGAAAGTAGGTAGTAATATGAACGTGACCCAAAAGTAAATAAACAATGCAGATGTAACGTTTGACTCTCGTTTGGGATTTTTGGACGAGAGGTGGTATTGTAGACACAAGAATCCATGGTAAAAAAAGTTAAAATTTCATTAAAATATCAATTCTGTGTGACCACAGAAACGAGTCATCTCTTCGACCATATAACCGGTCAGTGTCGTGGACACAATAGGAAGCACTCAGTTACTCGCTGTCCGCCATTTGTAGAACCTCAACCTCGTGTCCCGTAGATCTATCTCCCCCCGCTTCGTCTGAAATGCCGCTTTCAGCATCACACGGCTCGAATACCACGAATGTCTACTCCGAGGTTCTTTGCCAGCTCAAGATTCAACAATTGCATTGCATTACAGGAAAATAAAACATAAACCGCTATCGCGGTTCATGTCATTTTCCTGTAATGCAGTGGGCATGTATATTGCCTATGAATGGCACCTCATTGCAGTTTAATGCTAAAACGAGCTCAAACTCTTAAGGTAAAACTTTTACAGGAACTTTTAATTGTAATGGAATTGCAAATAGACGATAGCACAGCCCTTGAATTTCAAAGAAGTCCGGTAACAGTTGTCCGAAAACAACCTTCAGCCAACAAACGGCTGATGAACCATATCAGCGTCAAATACGAAACTAACGCATCTACTACTTCTCACCTGAATGTGTCTGTGAATGCTTCAACACCCCACTTGCTTATGTTGTATGCGCAGCCCCCTGGCCAGGCAAATAAAGCAGCATCACTGGACAAGGTGACCACCCTACCGGACCCTGCACGGAGCAGAGGAAGACACGCCGTGGTGACGCTGATGACACCGTGAAGGTTGACGGCAAAGGTCCGGTCGTAATCCTCTTTGGTGAGCCACTCAAGCGGGGCCGATATAGGAAATATCCCTGCATTGTTCACAACGCCTCCGAGTCCTGTAAACAGCAATGCCCTATGGCATGTTAGTATTTCCCCCAAAAATATTTTGATGCATAATCGGATGATTGTGATTGCTCACTCGACCATTCCGCCCGGTCACATTATATTGACAACGGGCCCACAACTGGTTCACACGTTGTCAGTATAACGTGACCGGGCGGAATGCCGTGCTGAAATTATCGGTGTATATTAGATAAAGGTGTGCTGCACCAACCATAGTCCAGCTACTGCAAAAAAACATAAGTATTTTACAGGCAAATACATGAAGTCGAATACATTCATGTTTGGCTGTGGGTTTGCTTGAACATTGATCTTGACCACCAGTATAACAACAGATTATTATTTATTTTTTGTATGGTATTAGCTTGCTTTGTTTACATATGTTAATTACATCTTTTTAGTATATCTCTGTATTCCTTTATTGACCTTGCCATATACTCATCTAACCTTGACCTTGAGGGATGGTATTTGTGATATACTCCACTGCTTCCGCAATCGACTTTCCACTCGTCACATCTAGAGACACAGGTTTTAATCTTTTGGAGCATTTCTGTTTGAGTCCTAGTTCGGCTTTCTTGTTAAGGCATCCGGCAAAAACATGCACCCCAGCCTTGTCCAGCTGTTTGGCTAAAAGGCGTCCAAACCCCGAGTCACATCCCGTGACCAGCACGTAGTGTTGGTTCCATTCCGGTATTCTTAGGTTCCGTCGGTACGTGTTAAAAACGTACAGAACTAGACAAATGGCGAAACATGTTAGTGTTACCAGTATAGTACCGAACATGGTGTTCCGATATACTTGTCTATCCCTGTATATATAGATGACCTATTTAAGCTTATCGTCATTTACCGGTGCACTATGGCCCGATATCGCCTGATAGACAGATCAAATTCTACTGAAACGAAGAGTTCATCTAATCATTCCGCATTGTTATAACAAACGCGTATCCTGAAATATAAACATATGCGGACCTCGTCTTGTAACAAATATATATACAAAGAACATGATGCGTCTCGGTAGTATTGTAGATTTAGAAGATTCCCATAAAATGGACGCGTTCCAGATATAGCATTAATTTACTATTGTGGTAAACACACCCCACCAACTCTTTTACTCTAGTAGGGATTGAACGGCATTTTTTCAAATTTACACCAGCATATGAACATTGAAAAAGTGCCTTTCAATCATAATATTGATATTCTTAATTTTTACTTCTTTTTGACTTAGATACAGATACTTTTGCAGTTGCCTTCTATTTCCTACATTGAAGTGTTTATAACGTCATCAAAATGATTGCTTCTAGCGATTTTCTCATGTTATTCGATGCGGAAAAAGCTTCGACAAAACGCTGATCCAATTGCGTTCATAGCCCTATGAACGCTATGCTCTTAGCGGAACTTGTAGATGGAATGTAAAATACATGATATAGATAAAACAGGTTAACAGTGTTTTGATTAATTAAACCTAAAGAAACACGAACTGTAATACGGCAAAAATATCTATTTTGCGAAATATATTCTATTCCAACATATAGTATACAGTTATTGTATGGGTGTGAGGGAAATAGCACTTGTATTGTCTCCCGAGACATTAACTATTTCTCGAGGCTATTTCCCGAAATACCCATAAAATAGCTGTTTTATTATACCAGCAACAAAATTATTCACGACCGGTTGTTTTGCAAACGAATTACGTCTGTTTCGTCTGGGTCTCGAAAACGCTTACGGACTTTATCGTATTTTATGAGATGGAAGTAGAGATGTTCCGAAGGAACATGACAAACGCAATGAACGAAGCCGAAAATTTGAATGCAGGTTAAATAGCTCATCCCGGGTAAATAGCTTTAATGACTATTTACCTGGTAAACAGTTTCTTGAAAGAGGTAATTTTGAAAATCATTTCTATTTTCTACTTTTATATTGTGTAAAAGAAGAAGAAATGTATAATAAATATATATAATACACCAACGACGGTTAATTCTTTGTACTAACTGTATACCAGGAAACTTTCGGCGGAAGATCGTAGTACACGGTATATATACATCAAATGATTCAATTTTCCTGTGACAGATCTGAAAAATGACACTATCCTTTTATTATTATGTGAGAAATAGAAAGCATTGTTCAGCAAGCAAAATAAGATTGTCAAACTGTAAGACAGGAGAATATATGAACTGTATACCGGGAAATGTTGGCGATGACGGTAATGATGGTAATTATATGTAAAGAGTGTTTACCATTGAAGGACGAACATTTGACTGGGCGAATGATTCCCGGAATAAAGTATACAAGACCCGGAAATCAGACTTAATAACTAGTAGGCTTCTGGTAAGCTAGGCGTGACTTCATGATCAATGTAGTGACGAGACACATATATTAAGGAGACCATAGAACGGTTTTAATCTTTCATAATATCATCGAATAGCAGACACTAAACATAAGAAAGTAATCATCAACTACCAATTCCAATCGGTCCACATCATACGGGGTATCCCACTATATCTAAACAGGGACACCCACACATATCGACGGGCAAGATGTGGGAAAACGACAGGAAAACAAGAATTTGGGTGACGCAATTAAACTAATAGAAAAGACAATATTAACCCGAACAAAAATGGAGAGATTCCGGAAGGGTAATCGCTTCATAAAAAGACATAGCTCATGTCAAATCCTGGAGAGTAGTTAAGTCTTTAACGATCTAAGTTACTGTAAAACGTCTCTCATCTCAGCAGAAATCCCAGTTATGCGATTTTTACTTTAATTTCTCTCCCTTGCAAAATAGTTTTATTCACGTTTTTTGCTAGGGAAGATATGAGTAGATTTCCTATCCTTTAAGGTAAGATAGAAGATCTCAACGCAAGGGGAATATTCTTGAATGGTCTAGTGCGAGGCTATGGCGAGGGCCATACATTAAAACACCTTACCCCGAGAGTTAAGATTTTTCTGTCTTACTTTTATCGTGAGGAAAGATTATTTTTCTCCCTCATCATCGTGTGTGCTGGAGATGTATTGTGTTCTGTTTGTAGTGGGGCCATACCATACGGCATCATCTATAGTGCCACCTCATGAACGCTTAACGTCAGATGTTGACGCACAACAGTGTTACACACTTTTAACGTCATTTCGTTTCAGGTTTGACGTTTGTGGCACACGGCCGGCTTTGTAAAACATGTGCTTTTAGAGCTATCGGAATGAAAATAGACATATGTAAAGCCTATTTATTTGACATTCATATGGTCACGGTTTGTATATGACAAGTGTAACCAATTTTGACAATGATCGAGTTGAACGTGAACATAACGGTTAAGAAGTGAAAGAAAAATGTGATAAAATAGCGCTACCCGTATAAGTACCATCTGCTTCCTTAATATCAACGATGATATTTTTAAGTTATAAAGCACATATTAATTAAGTACATAGAATAACATGCTTATATTAAAATAATCCGTTTTTTTTTTTTTTATTTCATTGAAGTCCAAGAATGAAAGTATAAATTACATTGGATAATGACTTGATGTCATTTGCCATTAAGTAATACATTGGCATTGGTGTTGTTACCCTCAAAGTTATCACACTGATCATGCATTCCAATAAAATAAATTTGAACAAGTGGCCAAATGGGCCTGCATCGCTCACCTGGTATAAAACTCAAACTTGTAACCTTAAAAGTGATCTAAAATAAAGCTACAGGCAAAATATCAGTATTTATGATTAAAATTCGTTCAGAAGACCGTTATTTTTTTTTAAAACATTTCACCCCTGTGATTGAAAGTCGAACAAAGTCATTATGTTGAACACATTGTATAGCCTTTCATCTCAGAATGCAACTTCCAAAGTATAAACATCCTGGGACCCATGGTTATTCATAAGAGGTTGTTTCAAGATTTTAAACAAATTTGACCGCTGTGACCTTGAATATATGTCAAAGTCATTCACTTTAACAAACATAGTAGTCCTTGATCCCAGCATATGCTACTAACTAAATATCAACATCCTGAGCCTTTTGGTTATTCAGAACAAGTTGTTGAAATATTTTAAACATATTTGCTCCTTGTAACCTTGAATATGATTCAAGGTCATACATTTAAACAAACTTGGTAGCCCTTGATCCTAGTATGCTACTGACTAAATATCATCACCCAGAGCATTTTGGTTATTCAGAAGTTGTTTTAAGTTTTAAACATATTTGACCCCTGTGACCTTGAATATTGGTGAAGGTCATTCATTTGAACAAACTTTGTAGCCCTTCATCTCAGCTAGCTACTGGCCAAATAGCAACACCCTGGGCATTTTGGTTATTCAGAAGAAGTTGTTAAAAGATTCTAACATATTTGACCCCTGTGACCTTGAATATGGGTGAAGGTCATTCATTTGAACAAACTTTGTAGCCCTTCATCTCTTAGCTAGCTACTGGCCAAATATCATCACCCTTGGCATTTTGGTTATTTGGAAGAAGTTGTTTAAAGTTTCTAACATATGTGACCCCTGTGACCTTGAATATGGGTGAAGGTCATTCATTTGAACAAACTTTGTAGCCCTTCATCTCTTAGCTAGCTACTGGCCAAATATCATCACCCTTGGCATTTTGGTTATTTGGAAGAAGTTGTTTAAAGTTTCTAACATATGTGACCCCTGTGACCTTGAAAATAGATGAAGGCCATTTATTTGAACAAACTTGGTAGCCCTTCATCCCAGTTTGCTTCTAGCCAATTATCATCACCCTAGGCCTTTTGGTTATTAAGAAGTCGTTTAAAGTAAAATATTGACGCCGGACGACGGACACCGCACCACGGCATAAGCTCACTTGGCACTTCGTGCCAGGTGAGCTAAAAATCACATGCAAGATTGAATTTCGTTCATTACAATTTCCACACAGGCTAAAAAATCTAAATGTTCTCCTCCTTCAACTGTAATTTGTAATTGTGCAACCTGCTGTCCTTCAAAATGTATACAACCATTGCTACTTTACCCCCATCCTCGATATTCAAGGGGTTAGGCTCACTAACGCACTCTATGCCCCTGGAATTTGTCATGACAAAATCGAAGGCTCAGTGTGCGTCACCTTGTTGATGAGACGAGTTTGATACTTTGATGTACATTAAAAGAATTGCTCGGTCGTGTAACGGTAAAATTGACTGGCTTTGTAGTTGGGTGTCGCATCTCTGTACACCATCTTGTACATTGTAATATATCTGAGGAAACCAATTGCCCTAGCGATTGGTCTTTTTTTTTCTACACGAGACCAATCAAATTGCTAGCTGCGTGCCTTCAATTTTGTTTTGACATATTCCAGAAGTACAGAGCGTAACCCCTGGCCACCGTACGCTACTGTACAATGCTACCCTAGTGTACAGGTAAACAGTCACCAAGTTTAATCAGAATCCGATTATACTTTTAAATATTACAGCTACTGATGAGCAGAAACCATCTCCTAATCAGAAGAATAATGCTGTTCATCTTTAAAGTTAGCCATAGCCTTTGTACATGCGGAACAGTTGGTTCATCTGTTTTTTAAATGCAATGTATTTTGGGATAAATCCTGACGGACCTGCAGAAGTTTGTGCAGGCCTTGCAAGGCTATATCAAGGCTCGTCTGAAAGCAGTATCCGATTACAAGGTCCGACCTTAATTCATGAACGAACAACTGCGGTCCAACCAGTTCAACCGTTTGGATCGGGATGAACGAAAGCGGCCCAAGTTTCATCCAAATTGAATGATGTTTTTGGTAAGTAACTTTGCAGAAACCAAAGTGTAGATGGACAGACATAAAAACAGACTGGCAGATGATCCCAATACAAAATGTTGACGGACATACAAAAAAAACGCAATACAAAATCTTTCTTATCATATTTTATTTACAACTCCATTGTGTACATTTTTTTCACAAGACAATTTTTCATTTCCTTTCTTTCTTTTCTTCTTTTTTTCAATCTCCCTTTAATTTATCAGACAAACTTTTTTTTTTGCTTTTTTTTTTGCTCTCAAAATGTTCCCTCCTTTTTTTAATTTTTTTTTTTTAAACTATTGTAGCCTTTTTTTCTGTCTCTATTTTTTTTCTTTCTTTCTTTTTTGTTTTGATTTTGTTTCCCCCAAAGTAACCTTAAATTGAAGACAGTGAAGAACCTGCACAGACACCCGAACACGTCAGGACTCTGCAATCTGAAAAAAAAGCTAAATCCTGCATTAGTTGACAGAATCTGCAAAATAGTCCTACAAATCTTTTGTCAAATTAAAATCGGTTTGTTTTAAATAAAATAATATTAAAATATTGGGAAACCACTTTTTCCAAATTCCATAAAAAAAATGTTTTAATATTATATATATATGGACTATACAATTCCAACTTATATCATTAAAAGCATTGTTAATAAAATTTATGAAGTTAGAATATATTGATGATTTCAAAATTTAAATATTTCATAAAATCTGAATGAAAACATATTTGATGACGGTCGATTTTTATGAGTAACTTTACTAAATGTTAACTCTACAGGAATTTTATAAGACAAGTTTAAATTTGATTTGTTGCCATTTGAAACTGCTCTTTTTCTTTCACACTCGTTTTCATACAGGAGACCAAATCCATTGGTCCCGAGATTCTACTGGCTATGAAGGACTAGGAACAAACTTTGATAAGCCATCAAATGTGTTCGACTTTTCTAAGAATATGCCTCAACCAAATTTCGTTTTTATTTAATTTTCCACGACCCAAACATTTATTTTAAGATATATCCTTAAAGCTACTTGTTATGGATTTCTTAAAATTTATTTTTTTGGCAGCAAAAAAAATCATTAATTTCTGATCATCTTTTATCTAATTCATATTTATCAATATTGCACATTTCCATCAAACATTTCTTTTAATTTCTGATCCAAATTTTAAGCCTTTCTTTTTCCTTGCTGCCAGAAACATTAACGGCTAAACGTGCATCAGTAAGGAGAATAGTATGAGGCCCGTCTGTACCGACTGAAACATAAAATAAAATAGAAAGTGAGATTATAATAGACAAATATTAAACACAAATGCTTGAAGTCGGTAAAAGAAACATAACACCATAATTTCTAGAAAATCAATGTTTGGAGATATTTTAAATTGATGAGAAATCGCATCAAAATACTGTATTGTGTTTTCCCCAGGCACTATCATACAGAGGCAAACCATTGCCTTTTATAAGCTTAGTTTTGACAAGACACTTTCTGTTCCACGATTTTTCTGATCAGCGACTGAAAACTATGCTGTTTGTTGGAACACTACCAACACTTGGACTATTCCTGATAAGGACATTATGATTTTTTCACTTGTTTCGGTGCTCTTAATAGCAAATCTGAAATTCAATCCTATTTTTAAGAGCTGTTCCATTGTTTATCATGGGGGAGGTGGGCGACACTGGTATTGATATATCGTGGGTGGTGGGGATCCAACTTGGTTGGCCTATTATTTCCAATCTTCTCACCCCTTCCCTACAGTTAATTCTAGAGAAAAGCAGAATGAAAACCAACTTTGAAGGTTTTCAATACAGGTTGAAAGGACAACAGTACGGCAATTTTCCTTTCTGGGCAAAACAAAATAATTAAATAAAGGATTTCCAAATTAATGAAAAATACACTTTAAACAGGTAGTTAATAGTTATTTGCAAGCCTTGGAAACACTTAATTAACTAGCAAGACAATAATATATTTCATTGGAATCCATCTTGATTCTGAAATAAAATGCATTATTATAATTTGCAAATTTTCTATAACAAAGTCTATATAAGATTTCAACGCAATGATACAGGAAGGTCATTGTAGCTATATCCTCTTCCGCAAACTTTGAAAATCTGTACTGCTCAAATTTTAAAACGCAGTTGCCAGTTACCAATTATTCTTTAAAAAAACATTTTGGTAAACTGACAATTTTAATTGATATATATATATAGCTGAGGGCTGTGACATTGAAAGTGGTTCAAAAGTTGTTCAGTATAATGATGAGTCTAGCCTTCACTCTTGCAAGCTACAGAACAACTAGGCCTGATGGTTCTGTAGAAGCTGTTTGAATCTTTAAACAAATTTGACCCACGACCTCATTACATGTAGCTGGTGTTGGCGATTAATTCTAACACTCTAGAAACCTTCACCCCATTAAGCTGCAAAAAAATTATGATGCTTGGGCTTAGATTTGGTAACTTGGCTAAAAAGTTTAAAGGAAAACTCGAAAATGCGACAGACAACCCATCGCTGTGAGACAGTAGAGCTAAACTAGAAAATACCTGTAAGACATGAATGCTCCTCATGCCTATGCAAATCAGTTTCAATGTTTACCACTTTTCTATAAATAGTAATTTGACCTTGACTTGGGCATCCTGAATTAAGAAAAAGTCAGAGGTCGTCTAATACTTGATATTATATATTTTTTCAAACCTGTTATGAAATGGGTCACTAGAGTGATGTCAAGGTATTGGCTGATGAATTTACATAAACAGTAATGGTAGCTTTGAGCTTTGAGCTTTGAACCTCGAATAACAATCTCAATCAAGTTTGTTTTGTAACTGACCTTTGTAAACAGTTTGATGATAAATGGTTTTTAAAAATGAAATCATTCAAGCAATGGCAGTGAACCGTGATGAGAGAAGCTTGATGAACATCAACTGCATTGCTACCACCCCCCCAAAATATGGCTTCAAAATACTAAACATTTTGTACATCAGACCTCTTGAACAAATTGCTTGTTAATCGTTTCATCAATAGAAGACTATATTTCAGGCTTGCTGAAATGTATACATACCTGTATCTACCCCCTCTTGGTCGTGGTGAGTAGCCTGCGTATGGCGACTGTCTGTATGCACCACCTCCTCGTCGATACCCTCGGCCACGGGGAGGTCGGTTTGTCGAAGTGATGCCAGGGCGGTTTGTTCTTTTGGCCGTCACCTAAATAATGACATGGTATTTATTTCAATGTACTGACATGGTGTTAATTTTCATGGAAATAATGCATGTGGATATAAAATATGGGATGGGTGCTACAGTGTCTGGGGTGCAACAGAGAAGAGACGCCCCCTCCCTATGGAAAAAAGTTGCTGTTGATGAAGAGTTCCCCGGCAAACAAAACAGAACACAGGATCCCTGTCCCACTGCATGGTTGGTTTTCCTATAAACAGTAATCTCCCCTTAACTACCATTGGGATTTACTAGCTGTAGCACAGTTGGGCCAGGACACTTCCGTTGACCTAACAGCTCAATTGGTCAGAGCCATATTTACAACACTCCGAAATTCAGTGTTCGAATCCCTGTTGTTGATTAATATATTGTTAGTTTCCTTTTTATTATTTCTCATAAAAGTACTGCACAATACTGTTTTCTTTTCAGAAATGATTTAACAAAGCTATATTGTTATGCGAGAATGTTTTCCCCTCGATACTTTGTTTCAGTTTTAGGCAGTGGTACAGGGATCCTTATATTAATACTCATCCAGCACACTCACACAGATGAGGAAGTGTAGAGAAACAAGTTTGCACCTCCTGCAAGAACAGCATATCTACCGGGATGGTATGTTCTTAATAATTACATTATCCAACCTGGATAGGGTGCTATCATCCTCAAAGTTTCAGAGTTTATGCTCACGTATGTTATCTTCACCCTGTCATAGTGCGGCAAAATTGAAGCCTCATGATCAGTGGTGCCTCCTTGTGGGCGACACAAGACTAGTTTTATCCTCTGGTTCACATCGAAATAATTTCATGGCAGTATGACGGTAAAGTTGACTGGCTTTGAGGTCTGGTGTCACTCCTCTGTAATCTTCCAAAATACAGGTATCGGCCTGTTTTTTTTTTTTTTACTCGAGACCAATCAAATAGCTAGGGACATGTGCCTTCAATTTTGTGATGACATATTTCAGCGATGTCATGAACAGAAGTGAACGTAACCCTTGGAATTTTGAGGTTGAGGTGATAAATCAAATGTATTGTTCACAGCTCCACTACATATTTTAGAAAAGCTGTCATTTTTAGAAAGAACCATTATTTCCAGGACTAAAAAATGTCACATTTCACAAATCACAACAAGAATGTTTACCTTAATTTGTCTCCCTCTAAACAGTGAATCGTCCAGGGCTTGTGCTGTGGCAACTGAGTCTTTATCAGCGAATTCTACAAAGGCAAAGCTGGAAAAAAAAAAAAGCATATATATATTTCAGGAATCACACACTCCCTCTTCTTTACATCAGATTTCTGACCAATATTTTTTCTGCATACATATATATAACATTTAATTATGAAGTAATTATTTCTTATTACAGAAACGCCAAGAGGTCCTATGAGGCTCAACTTTTTAATATCTCCTTTCTTTTCAACTAGAAGAATTTCATGTCAACAAGCCACCGGCAAATTAAGATTTTATATAATATAGTTCTTCAGAGGCAGTTGTTTGAGCTTTCTAAATATTAGATCCTTGTGGTCAAAGTTATTTCTTTCCACAAATTTTGTATCACTGCATGCCAGCAATCCACAAACCAATTATTATGACGCTTTTAAATTCTCATTGCAAAATTGTAAATCATGATTATTGATCCAATTTCTTCCAACCTATGGTTTGGTTTAATTTTGTTTATCGTCCTATTAGCAGCTAAGGTCATTTAAGGACGTGCCTCCATGTGTGTAGTGTATGCGTGCTTGCATGTATGTATGCAGGAGACAGGGTATGTAATTGGTGTGCTTTCAACCTACAGATTGTTGTTATATTAGTGTTAGCTGGGACTGCAATATAACATTAGTTCTGAGAAACTGATCTGAATAACTGTGAAAACTATTTTTTTTAGCCAATAAAGAATTTTGCTTCCTAAAATCAGAAACTTGCTTGTAAAACTTTCTGTTCATCTTAACAAGAGAAACCGAGAACGGACAGAGTGAAACACTAACAGTCAAAGAAGCATATATGACTATAAGGATATTTTTTGGACGATGTCTTGTTTAATATCAATATTTTTCAGAGACAAAAAATTCAACTTTCAAAAAAGTACAAATTGAAACATAATTTAACTACCATATTTTTTCAAAATTTACACTCATTTTATTAGTAGATATGTGTTAATTTTGAACCCCACTTTATAGATTTCTGACAATCAAAACCAGTGGATCTCCCTTCTGGTAATCCAAACTAATATTCTGGTCATTGCAATGTTTTTCCCCCCTGACAAATAGTTCATAATCATGGGGGTAGGGTGGTTCTTACCCTTTAGGATGTCCAGTGAATTTATCACACAGTATTGTCACTCTATTCACCGATCCACAGCCATGGAAGTGTTGTTCAAGTTCTTCAGCCGTAGCTCCGTAATCTACCTAAAACACACACAGAATGACGTGTGAAATAGCATCGCCAAGGTCCTTATGTGGCACTAGTCTTCATATGATTATAAAACGGGTAAAACATTAATGTAGATACAGCAAGGTTAACATTAAAACTCGCACACCCAGTATAATTGTTAGGTACCAATTCAAACATCACAGAGTAGGGCAATTCCCTAAATAATACTGCCATTGATATTTTGTTTTTAGAAATACTCAAATAGTTTTCATCTACATTTGATTTTGGTTCAAGATCAGCTAAAAGTTGAAATCATAGCTGTAACACAGCTCTTTAGTCTAACATGTGTAAACATCATTTCCTGAACCGTACTCATCAGATGTATACCAGTCAAGCTTGTTTTTACTTATTGGCTTGGGTCAAATATACACAAATGTTAGTTATCTCCCCATATACATGTGTTCCCTATCTGGAACAGTCTAGCTCTTAGATAATGAAGAAACTATGCTTTGGCAATGAAATTTTCACATATTGCAAATTTAGGCAATTTTGCTCTGTAATAAATGCACAATTGGGGCAAAAAATGCTTAAAATATGAAAATCATCTTTATTAGAGCATTTCATCATCATATGAAATTTTTGTTACTTTCTGCAAAAATTACACAACACTTAAACAGCTATTGTATTCAAGATCAGGTAGAAGTTGGAAACATTACTACCGAGTAGTTCTTTAGTCTAACATGTGTTGAACATCATCTCTTGAATACAATACTTTGCTCTTTAAGAAGTCTTCCAGTCCAATGATATACAATAAAGCAACAGTTTTAAAATTTTCAGAATTAGAATAGAAAATATTTCTTGAGAGCAATATTCAATGACATACTGTCTGATAAGATCATTATTGCTACATTATGATCTGTATTTTTCATTAACAGTTACATGTCTATTACCAATTTAAGTTTTAAAGTATAAATAGCAGCTCTCCCAGGATTTTACTCTAGTTTTTGGTTCAAGATCAGCTCTAACTTGAAATCATGGTATTAAACTCTTTAGTCTAACATGTGTAAACATCATCTCTCAAACCAAATTAAGTCATTAGATCAATATGGTCATATTTAGTCAATAAGAATGAATAACGTGAAACAAATATAAAACTACCAGGTAGGATAATTTTATACTACGGTTTTCTCCTAGAGGATGTCACTTTTACCTTAGATTTTTTTTTTATAGAAAATAACTGAATTTTTATCAACTGTGACAACAACAATTCTATTGTAAAACAAACAGAACCTTATAATTCTGGTTTAAGATCAGCTCAAACTTGAAATCATCGTATTATTAAACTCTTTAGTCTAACATGTACAAACATCATCTCTCAAACCAAACTAAGCCAAGGATATATTTTGTCAACTTGTGATACATAGATGCCAATTAACAAGTTCATGATTCAAGCTTTTCTGCACAGGACCATAAAATTTATTTAAATTCCTTTACATTATGCCTCGATCTGATATATATTTCTATACACTGATTATGATGCATTTTCCCCCCCAAATGACTTTGGCTCGAATTATGACATAACCATTTTTTTTGCGACATGTAGCCACAATATACAATTATCTGCCGATAACTGTTTAGTTTTCTACTTCAGAAATAATATCAGTAACCCACTTCTTCATGGATGCTTTGTGCGATTTAAGATTCATATCACAATCACACAGTCACAAATATCCATTTTTCTAGCTCATGCGTCATCATTTAATTTAAACTCCCACACCTTATTCAAACGTTACACAGCAGGGCAATTCCCTAAATAATACCGCCATTGATATTTTGTTTCTAGAAATATTTAACTATTTTTCATCTACATTTGATTTTGGTTCAAGATCAGCTAAAAGTTGAAATCATAGCTGTAACACAGCTCTTTAGTCTAACATGTGTAAACATCATTTCCTGAACCGTACCGTACCCATCAGATGTATACCAGTTGTCAAGCTTGTTTTTACTTATTACAATAGAAATTTAGAGTCATAAGCTTTGTCAGACAATATACTTATTATCTATACAGTAAATATGTAGATTTGTACGAATATCCATGTTTAATCAGGCATATAAAATTCATTATTCACAAGACAAGTCCTTGCCAAGGGACACAACTCTATGATTTCTTCATCAGCAAGAATTATATGGCAAAAAATTATAATGTAGTTCAGGTATAATAACATGCCAGAAAAATATAGGTAGCTTGGAATGCATATAATTTTATGTTAATGCTATTGTTCTTAAATTTCTTAGATAAATATTCTGTTATCAATATCAATTTAAACAAAGCATTTCTAATGGCTATTAAGGTCAGACCAGGAAGAAAGAGATACTGTGAGTGTTGTTTGACTACTGCAAATACTATACACCCTCGACTTTATCCGAAGCTGGGGTATACAAATAATGCTGGTTCAAGATCAGCTAAAGTTTTGAAATCATGGCTACCAAGTAGCTCTTTAGTCTAACATGTGTTAAACATCATCTCTTGAACCATTTCGACACAAAGCTTAAACACACATATTCAAGATCTGGTACTAGATAAGCTCTTTTTGCATTATTAAGACTCTTTTGACCCAATTTCATTGGCATTAATTTTAATATGTTGTAGCTTACATTTCCGACATAAACAGATCTGTTATCAGCATCAAGTTTTTCTTCGACTGTGGGGAATCCAGCTGTGGAGAAATGAGGAATATTCAATCAACATCAAGTTGTATGCAATCAATTCACACAGCTAACATGTATTTTTTATCAATATTTTCTATGGAAATTTATTTGTATGTTAAATCAAATGTATAAACTACAAAATACTGTCCCCATTAAGAAATCAAAATTTGTGAAGTGCAAGGATTATCCTGGAGGGGCCATGGGGCTTTTGACCCCTCAAAACTGAAATGGCCCACTGCTCTCAAATTCCAGGATTTTCCATGAAAGTGTTTTACTGACATTTATAAATAGGGGTTATTTAAAGTGCATATGTGACCGTGTCAAGGTGGTGAAACAAAAATGGACGCATCAATTCTGTTGACCGGTTCTATGTACCGCTTAGAGTTGATTAAACTATCATGTTTTTTTTTCGTCACATAAAAACTATTATGACCAACCTAGTAACCTTCCCAAACTTTAAAGTCCTGAAAGTGTAGCAATTGGCTCTCTCTAACCTTTTAATATAAAAAAGATTTTGCATATTTGTATTGCTGATATGGGTTAATGACTAATGGTCTTTGCCCTTTCTATTAGTCCCAGAATCAGTGTTATGCTTCTTGGTTTTTGATGGCCTATGTAATTTGGGTAGCTAGGACCAAAGAAAAATTGCGCTTCTTACATCCAGGGTCAATAAAATTAAACTCGCATATAATATGCATGAAAGAAATAAAGAATTTTTGTCAAAATGTTTACATGTTGTCTCATTTGGTTTTATATTGCAGGTTAAGCATACCAGCAGTAGGTGCTGTTGTCGGGGAGGTAATGTTCATTTGTTTCTCCACCTCATTTTGCATTTCTTTCAGTTTCTCAGCCTCTTCCTCCATTTCTTTTACACGAGCCTTGATAGCTTCTAACTCCTGGAATATGAAGATAGCAGTAAGTTAGCCAAACGCCATTGTTATATAACATACTTAGTCAGGAAATCCAGGGAATCAGATGCAAAACTTTAGTCATTTGACAACTGAAAATGATAACTTTACCCTAACAATGTCGTGGTGTTTTTACCCAATGTGATGAGATAATTTTTGATGGATGTTCTGAAGCACATGTATTATTTCTCTAACATTTCATAGGTGTTCTCCCTTTGCTAGAGAAAAGATTAATAGAATCTTCCCCTACCTTGAGGGTGTGACAGAGAAATCTCCACATCACAATGTCACAAATATCCATTTTTTCTAGCTAATGTACATCTGTAGTCATTTAAACTCACACACCCAGTATAATTGTTAGGTACCAATTTAAACGTCACAGAGTAGGGCAATTCCCTAAATAATACTGCCATTGATATTTTGTTTCTAGACATAATAAATGTAATAAATGCACAATTTGGGCAAAAAAATGCTTAAATTATGAAAATCATCTTTATTAGAGCATTTCATCATCTACTTTCTGCAAAAATTACACAACACTTAAACAGCTATTGTATTCAAGATCAGCTAGAAGTTGGAAACATGACTACCAAGTAGTTCTTTAGTCTAACATGTGTTGAACATCATCTCTTGAATACAATACTTTGCTCTTTAAGAAGTCTTCCAGTCCAATGATATACAATAAAGCAACAATTTTAGCCCCCGAGGGTAGTCCGAATTATTCTGACGTTTTATTGACTTTTTTCATATCGGTTTGTCGTCGATTAACGTCAGAACTCCGGCCCTCTATAATATGCGGGAAATATGCGACCCCCGCCCGGAGCGCACTTCAAACTGATATTTTAGTCGATAAAACGTCAGAATAATTCGAACTTCCCCGAGGGGTGATGTTTTTTGGTTGTTTTGAGTTCCTAAATAATTACCTTTTTAAACAGTAATTGGCATCATTGCCGGTTCAAATCATAATTATGTGTTCCTGCCGGTCAATAGTATCACACGACCTTGACTCTTTGCAATACACACAAACTTCGCGACTTTCCATTTGTCATTTTGGCACATTTGAACATCCAAAATTGAATATTGAAGCACAAGTTTACACAAGAACAGCATTTTCCATCTCAGAATACTAAAATTACCATGAAATACACCGATATATTTTCTAAATTGCTGTACTTATCAGTTCAAATTGTTGGAGAGACCTACATTTTTTCGTGTAATATAGCCTTGAATTACAATTTGTGATGGTAAAATGAGTGATACATTCTGGAATTATTACACGAAAGTTAACAAGTTTATTGCCACAAGTTCTTTTCTAAATATTTCTGAAAATGTCAGAAATATTGCCGATAACTGGTCGCAATACAGGACTGTTTACTGGTCTAAAAGAGCGGTATGGCCATATATAATTTAAAAGTATCGTGATACTATCGGCGAATGCCACGATGCATCGGCAATTGAAAAATGATATGATTCAGAGATGCATCGGTGAATTGTTACACCTCTAGTGTTAAAAGACAAGGCCAGTAACAGTTATGTATACCAAATGCATTTGTTTATGTCAATAAACATAGTCGTGACAAAATAGGGTGTATTTGTTTTTGGTCAGGACTATTTTTATTGACAGAAACAAATGCATGTGATCCAAGCCTTGTTTATTTTTTGTAATTTAAATGTTGCCTTGTTCGTCTAAATCAATCTCAACATTAGGCAGTTAAAAATGTTTGTTTGTGTTGTTTAATTATTGACATGACAATAAAAAAACAATGACCGGACGCCAATGAAAAGGTGGTTATATTGAGTGTTTTGATTTGGTTGAAACGACCGGCGACCGACCCAGTGCTTCTACTTTGAAAGTAACAGACGAGACCAGGTCTGGTCGGAGGTTGTTTTAATCTGGGACAGTTCTTGGAAAGAACGAGTATTTGTGGTAGTTGGTTCAGAGGTTCCACATGTCAACAGTTAATTGTGTGTTTAAACGAATAATGTCTTAATGACGAAGGACTCTTTTATAGACAAATTAAGGGCAACCATACCGGATCTTCCACGGCCGTCTCGTCCGTGTTTGTTGCCGTAGCGTCATGATCGCCGTCCCCTCCTTCAAATTGTTGTGCGTCCGGATCGAAATCCGTGACCGAGTCGTCTTGAAAATCGGTTTCTTTGTCGGCCATTACAATATATAATCTGAAAATACACATTTGAAATTGTGCACATGTATTCGCAAATCAAGAATTACAATGAAAATATTCATACTGGTTTTTATATTACCATGATGATGACGGATTAAAAACACAAAATCTACCTCTCACTCCCTTACGCCGGCCGGTGTCTTTTTTTGCCGAATGAAATTGAAGAGTTCAGACGTATTTGTTAAGTATACAAGAGTTACTTCCCTTGTGTGAGCCTTATCTACCCCATAACAACCAGACGTAGAAATTACTTAAATCGAGATTCTGATAGTTGTAGTTTAAACATATTGTATTGCCAAGCAAGCATATATTTACAATTACATTTATGCACTATTTCATTTTTAAATGCCTTAATTTATACATTGAAATTATAAGAGAGAGAGATACAGAAGGCGGGG